CGTACACACCTATACCTGAAAGTGTCAGACATTTGGAGGACATGGAAAGTCACGTTGGAACAATAGGGGGACAGTAAATGTGTGTAAAATGTAGTTGCTTGTTCAAGAATCAAGGTTTCAGAAAGATTTTAAATTAGATGCATCATGTGATCACTGCACTCAAACTCAACCAGTACAACATATATTACTCTACTGTGTTGTTGGAAAAACTATGTTGAAAAAATATATACCGGTATTTCAGTCACTTCTACGAGTTGAATAAAACTGTAGTTTTCAAACCTCCTATGTAAATGTTTATAAATATATTGCTCAACTCTGAATGTCAGAAAACTGTGTAGCTGCAACTTTCCTACCAGCTATTGATTGTGCTCCTGCCAGCTGCTTGCAGATGTTGGATGCTGCAGATGTTGGATGCTGTCTATCACGGTGCACTAACATTCATACCTGGCTGTAACTACCGTACCCACCACTGCACCCAGTATCCACTGGTTAGCTGGACACCATTAACTTCACGCAGACTCTCCTGCTGGTACATCTTCATCTTTAAATCACTTCTTGGTCTGCTGCCTTCATACATCTCCTCCTACATGTCACATCGTCAGTGCAGTTACAGCGTGTGCTCTCAGGACATCATTACCTGCAGGCAGCGTCCCCTCAGTGCAGACGGAACGTGGACAAAAAAGGCCTTTTCTTAAAATACTAAAAACAACATAATTGCTTTGATATTTCTTACCTGGGTGTATCCTGGGACATCTTGCAAAACGATCTGCAGCTGTCCACTTTTATTTCTTTAGGGGATTTTAAACATTTGATAAGATAGAAACATCAAAGCAAATATGTTCTTATTTTTAGTATTTTACCTTGTTTTATATGGCACCTGGATTTATTGTTTTATAACACTACTTTTATTGTAATTGCATTTTATTGTAGTTTATTGTCTGTATATGCTGTCTGCCTAAAACGGGTCTCCCTTGTAAATGAGTCCTCGTGACTCAATGAGACTAACCTGTATAAATAAAGGTTGAATTAAAAATACTTCTGACTTCATTCTTTGAAAAATTCTTGGCAGAAAGAATCTAGTCTTTTTCCTCTTAATTGCAAACATAAATAAATAATAATTATATTATAATTATATTACAATTTAAAATAATATCTACCCTTTCAATATTTTGCACCTGTAAATAATGATTATTAGTATAATATTCTGTACTGTGTGTCGCACTCTTTTCTTGCTCCAGCAGTGGGCGGTAAAATATTTTAAGACGGTTTGCCAACTGACAAAAGGACAGGCGAAGTAGACAGTTACCATGGCAACGTAACTACGGTGACTCAGAGCCCTGTAAAGAGGGCTCTGCGGTGACTCGCTTGTGTTTTTTAGAGC